ATGCATACACATGTGTAGTTGTTAAATGTATAACAATTACCTTAAGGTTAATTGATTTAATTGGAAAATGAAAAAAAAAAACGTTTGTTGGCATGGGAGTGTTACTTAAAGCTAGTTTAATATGATAATGTGTAGTTAACGTACAGCGTGTAGTTAATTTGCCTTCATTTATGTGACAGACAGCTAGGAAAAGGATAAGGAATGCCATGTTTTAAATTGCTGAAAATTGTTATTTACAATTTTTATTAATGAAATAATAATAGAGTAAAATGGGTAGAAAATTAAAATTGTTTGTGATCAACCATATGGTATTTAACTTTTTTTTTTAATTTTAGCCAAGTTTGCAAAGTGTTTAATATATAAAGAGCTACGAGTGGAGCCATTGTAAGATTTTATGAAGAACCACGATCGAAACCAAATCAAGAAAACAAAACTTTTGTTTTATATTTGATAATTTTCCTAAAGATCTAATTAGAAACGAACATTAACCTTTGAAAACGAATGCCTAGTGGCGGTTTACACAGGAAAACTTTTTTGGAAAACTTTTGATTTTGTGTGTGGGAGAAAGAGATGGTTGATATTTCGTTCTCTTTTTATCACACACAAAATCAAAAGATTCCCAAAAAAGTTTCCCTGTGTGAACCGGCAACTACTAGTCAATTTCTAAAATTATTTTCATTATACCTTACGTATACTTTATAAATAATTCCTATAAAATATTCCACATACGCTCTGTTTACCTAACAAATGATTTAAATTAAATATTCCACATACGCCCTATTGTTCTAAGAAGACTTAAGTAGCAAATAAAAAATATTTTTAAATTTTGTTCACTTTTCAGAGAAAAAATAGCTTTTGTTAAGAAAAAAATCATTTTTAATCAATTACCTTTATAAAAAAATAACTTCTAAAAATATTTTAACAATTTATTTGGATAAATTAAAAACCAATTTGTTGCTATAACAATTTATTCCTAAATTCTTAATAACAACATTGTCACACAAATATTTTGTTGCTAACACGTACTTCTGCAATTACTTCAAATTCATTTAAGCGTTACATTTTTTGATTTTTTCTGCAAAAATTCTTTAGGCAAAAATTAAAAAAAAAAAAAAAAAAACGAAGAAGACACAGCTAAAAGCAATTTAAATAACAAAAGATTACAACAACAAAAAACTATATAGGCAATGAAATAGCACAGAAAATGGTCAGTTTTTATAAATGAAACGCCATTTTTTCTAGTTAACAACAAATCAGCAACAAAAAAGAAGCAGGCCGACTACACACACTAAACTAAATCTCTAGGAGTAGAAAAAAATACAGAAAAGACGAAATTGTGTACGTGTGTCATACGGTCTATTAATTCGCATGTTTTATTGCACGCCCAACCATTAAAGGACTCTTTTTTTTCACTAAAAGTGGAAATAATTTTGCAAAACCACAAACAAAAATGAAAGCAAAATGAAATAAAAACAACAACTGCCTTTAGTTTTAGAGTGAAATAGAAATTTATATAGAAAATATGTTGAGTTAGGAATCACATTTAACTATTTTCATCATTTTCTTAAAAGGTCGATTAATATCTAATACATTTACATTTAACAATATCTTTTTTAAAGAAACTGACATATGTATTTCTCCTTTAAAACAATCTTGGAAAGACCCATAATCTTATGTTCATTATTATAAAAGATTCAAAAAGTTCCAGTAAAAGCCCAAAAAGTACCAAAAAATTCACTCTATAGATTTTTATTCCCATATGTGTGATTGTATGTTTCGGAAATGTACCAAAAATTTTCAGAGGTTGTCTCGGATTTTTGCTCATATCTCCATTATATATGGTCCGATTTTGCTAATTTTAAATATCGATCTTCTCGAAAGCGCGTCTGACAGAATTATTAAAGACTTGGATCCCGAAGAT